GCAGGTGGAGCAGAGGGGGACCTTATGGGGGATGAGAGCAGGTGGAGCAAAGGAGGACCTTATGGGGGATGAGAGCTGGTGGAGCAGAGGAGGACCTTCTGGGGAAGGAGAGCAGAGGAGGACCTTCTGGAGGACGAGAGCAGGAGGAGCAGAGGAAGACCTCCTCAGAACCTGAGTGTCCTGCTTCCGGAAGCCCAAACCATTTCACAAGGACACCCCTTGGAGAGGCCACATGTAGGGGTTCCAGCTGACCACAAGCTGACCTCCCAAATATGAGCACAGACACTTCCATATCTCTCCAGCTTCCAGCCGTGGTGTTACCTCCAGCCTCAAGGCTTCCCAGCGGAGGCCCCAGACATAGTGCAGCAAAGACAAACTATCCTGCTGAGCTCCGTCCTACATCTCAACCCAAAGAATCAGGAGGATGTTAATAGGGTTGCCTCATGCCTCTAGGTTTGAGGCAGCTTGTCAGGCAGCAGTAATAACCCAAGCAGGGGCAGGCACCACTCTCCCAGGAGAACCCTGACCCTGTGCAGAACCAGAAGGTGATTTTCTCTGGGAACTGGGGCCTCAGCCCTGGGAGATGATCTGTAGGCACTAGCCAATCACAACGGCCCTTTTCTCCTTTGCTGGTGGTTGGTTTAGGAGTGAGCCTGTGACCCAATCTGGCCAGTGAGATTTAATGAGAAGTTCCCTCCTGCTCCAAAGAAATATTTTCCTCCACATAAAAAAGAATGAGGCAAAGGGTGGGACTGCATTCCTCACTCTCCATCTTCCTCCCGTCCTTTCTTCTGGATGTTTTCTGGTGAGGATGGGGCACTGGCAGCTGTTTTGTGATCATGAGGGCAAATCCTAGATTCTCACAGAGAAGCAAGTCTGATATCATTGATACCTTGAATTGACCAATTTAGAACTACTCATCTATGGTCATTTTGTTGTATGAGGTGGTGGGGCTGCTAGATCTAGCAAACAGAAGTGTAGGACTCCCAGTTAAATTGGAGTTTCAGATAGACAAGCTTTTTAAAAAGTATTTCTTTTCTAAATTTAAATTCAAGTTAGCATACAGTGTTGTCTTGGTTTCAGGACTAGAACTCCATGTTTCATCTCTTTAACTTTTATTTATTTTTGAGAGGCAGAGAGACACAGTATGAGCAGTGGAGGGGCAGAGAGAGAGGGAGACACAAAGTCTGAAGCAGGCTCCAGGCTCTCAGCTATCAGCACAGGGCCCAATCTGGGGCTCGAACTCATGAACCGGGAGATCATGACCTGAGCCCAAGTTGGACATTCAACTGACTGAACCACCCTGGGCGCTCCGTGTATTTCATCTGGTACATACAATGCCCAGTGCTCATCCCAACAAATGCCCTCCTTAATAGCCATCACCCATTTAGCCCATCCCCTCACCCACCTCCCCTCCAACAATCCTCAGTTTGTTCTCTGTATTTAAGAGTCTCTTATGGTTTGCCTCCCTCTCCCGTGCTATGTTTTGGACATACTTATTCTAAAAATCATTGGTATAATTATACTTTAAGGAAACTTTATTTATATGAAATTTAAATTTAATTGAGTGTCCTGTATTTTACTTGGCAATTTTAAGAGACAGTAAACTTATTATTATTTCTAGAGGCAGTAGAATATAATGGATATATGTTCTCTGGAGCAAGACTGCATGAATCCAAATCCCACTTCTTTATTTTAGGAGTTACGTGGCGTCAGGACAGTTACCTACTGTAATTCCATTCTCCTCATCTATAAAGTGGGGGTGATGATAATGATGGTGAGGATAGTCAGCCCACGGCATTGTTATGAGAATTAAATTGACATACATAAGTCACATAAGGTGTGCCTGGCCCATATACATACAATTTAAATGCTGGATGTTATAATGATGTGGGTAAGCATGTGGGATCTGGCATCAGACATCCAGGTTTGAAACATGGCTCAGCTGTTTCCTATCTAGCGTGAACCCAACCCCTTGTGTATTTCTGTTTTTCTCATCTGTAAAGTGGAGATACTAATAATTCTTACCTCATGGGGTTATTGTAAGGAAATCATTCATAATATATGAAAAGCTATCAGTGCCTGGCACACGGTAAGCCCTTAACTAAGTTATTATTGCTTAGGCTACTTTTAAAAATCTTTTTTGTAATGTTTATTTATTTTGAGGGAGAGAGAGGGAGACGCAGAATCTGAAGCAGGCTCTAGGCTCCAAGCTGTCAGCACAGAGCCCGACACAGGGCTTGAACCCACAAACCGTGAGATCATGACCTGAGCTGAGCTCAACCAACTGAGCCACCCAGGTGCCCCCCAGGGTTTTAGTTTTTAATGTTTATTTATTTATTTTGAGAGAGAGAAAGAGAGAGAGTAAGCGAGCAGGGGAGGGGCAGAGAGAGAGAGAGAGGGAGAGAGAGAGAATCCCCAGTAGTCTCTGCACTGTCAGTGAGCCGAAATCAAGGTCAGGTGCTTAACCGACTGAGCCATTCAGATGCCCCAATTCCAGGGGTTTTGACAAATGAATAATGACATGTGCCCTTCACTACAGCATCCTACAGAATAGTTCTACAGCCCTAAAGTTCCTCTGGGTTCCTCCTATATATCCCTACTTCTCCTCATCTCCTGACAACCACTGATCTTTCCTCTGTATGTTTGTATTTCCCAGAATGTCATAAAGCTGGTATCACACAGTATGTAGTCTTTTCACATTGGCTTATTTCACTTAATTATATGCATCTAAAGGTCCTCCAGTCTTTTCATGACTTGATAGCTCATTTCTTTTCAGCACTGACTAATATCCCATAGTCTGGATGGACCACAGTTTATTTATCCCTTCACCTACTGAAGGACATCATCGTTGCCTCCAAGTTTGGGCCATTATGAGTAAAGCTGCTAGAAACATCCCCCCATTCAAGTTTTTCTGTGGGCATAAGTTTTCAATTCCTTTCTGTAGATATCAAGGAGTGCAGTTGCCAGATCATATGATAAGACTATGTTTAGTTTTGTAAGAAACTGCAAGTTGTCCTCCAAAGTGACTGCACCATTTTGTGTTCCCACCAGCCATGAACGAGAGTTCCTGTTCTCCACATCCTCGCCCACATTTAGTGACATTGGTATTCTGGATCTGGGGCATTCTAATAGGTGTTCAGTAGTGTCTCATTGTTTAATTTGCATTTCCTTGTGTGTATAAGGTGGAGCCCATTTTCATATGCAAATTTGCCATCTGTGTATTTTCTTTGGTGAGGTGTCCATTAAGGCCTTTTGCCCATTTTTAAAATGAGTATCTCTTTTTCTTATTGTTGAATTTCAGGAGTTCTTTGTATATTGTGGATAGTAGTCCTTTATCAGATGTGCCTTTTGCAGTATTTCTTCTTAGTTTGTAGTTTACCTCATTCTCTAACAGAAGCCACTCTTGAAAGACATTTGATATCTTGCAGCTGAATGCACTCTTCCAGAGACAGGTAAGTACAGTACTTACGCTTGGTGAGATACCCAATTATGGTGCCGTGTCCTCCTTTGACTAAAAGGTGGCTTGTCCACCATTCCTTCTCATGCCTCAAGGATTGGAAATGTTCAGAGTCAACTCATTGCAGAGATTCCAGAAGACAATACTTTAGTCTCAGTTTTGTATTTTCTGAGATAAAGTGATTTGGCTTTTCCATAGATTTTAGCAGCTGCCTCATACAATTCCAATAGTTTCAATGTTTTTGCTTAAGTTATCCATTCATTGATTCCACCAGCAAATCTTTGTTGAGTGCCTACTATGTGCTAGGCACTGCTCTGAGCACTGCTGATAGTGTAGTGAACAAAACAGACCAAAGCCCTTTCCTCATGAAACTTACATTCTGGTGGGAAAGTCATACAATGTACAAAGTTCATGAAGTACATAGCATGTCTAGTGGTGATAAATGGAATGGAGAATTATATAGCATGTCTAGTGGTGATAAGTGCAATGGAGGGGAGTGTTGGCTTCAGGCATGGCTGAATCTAGCAGATTCAGTGATATCAGACTATAAAAGCTTGGAAAGGAATAGAGAATGCCTGGGTATTTTTGCCTCTCTGCCCCCAGATCTGTAAGGGAATTTGAGTCCAAAGAATAAGCAATGGCCCAGGAGGCTTGACTTTCATAAGCTGAGTGAGAAGGACCCAAGGAGTTAAATCTTGATATTTTCCAGGCAGAAAGAAAATAATAGCAAAATCATGATAATAATAATCACCATCATCACCATCATCACCACCATCACCATCACCATCATCATTACCACCACCACTATCATCATCACCGCCATCACCATCATCATCGCCATCACCATCATCATCGCCACCACCATCATCATCACCACCACCACCACCACCACCATCATCATC